AAAAAGTCTATTAACTGGCAGTTGACTTCGCACTTCAAACAACCATCACCCCCACTCTATGTCATAGTCGAACCCTATCACAGTACTCATCTTACCCTTTCTGAGCTTTTGTGTCTGTCTGTTTCTTTTACATCTGTGAATCACTCTTCTATTCCAACTCTTGAATTCTCACTTTGATGTTCCTCCTACCCTCTGTGAAGCGTGAAGTCAACTAAAGGGCTAATGATATCCAACAAAACGCCTGTCATTTGTTATAAATAAATATTTCAAATGGATTGTCCGTAACAAGATTTTACCTTTCTTTTTTCCCAGGGATCTAAACCCGTTTAGCTTATTATCACTTTATCACTATACCTCATGGAAAGCATGCCAGTGTATATTGAAATGAGCGAAATTAATCATAATAAGCCAACAAGGGGATGAAGTGTGTAAGTCATATTTATGCCTTTATTTGCTACTCAACAATGGTGACGCAGTAAAATTAGCACTAGGTTTTAGCGAATTTGTCCTCCCTCCTAATGTGGGTCAGTACCGCTTACCGGCTCTTGGATTATATTGGATGGGATGGACACTATTGTGGCCGACAGTAGTGCAAGTATAAGGAAATTGGAAGTAGCATGGACGATTTCTGATGAGAAGCTAAAAAGGCTCATCTTTGAAAACCAAAGTCATCTGGAAATATCTGGGGGTGACTACGAGCATCATTACTAACATGTCTACTGAGGCCATTACTCTCAGCTAGGGTAACAACACCAGACTTGGGATTTGAAGTAAATAGAACTTGAAGTAAGCATATACGTCCAAATGGAGTACAATTGAATGGAGTTTCATTCCAAGAACAGTCGGCAGACTGGCACTGTTCGGGACATCACAGCAACCACCATCATGTGCATTAAACTCGTGCACTTACAAATGTACGCTTCCAGATACCAGGCAAATAACGAAATTAAAAATGCATATTGGAACGCAGACCATAAACCATAGCATAGCAAACCTACATGGAAATCATACAGCACCAACTTAAGAAGGTTTTGGGAGACTCTGCTAAAATTTCTTTGAACTAAAGCTTGTGCTGACAGTAACGGAGGAGAGAGAAGTTAATTAAATACATTTGAGACAAAGCCAATTTCCGAAACAGCTAAATCTCATCGATTTCAGTTCAATCGTCAGACATATGAAATATCGGTAGCTTCACATCGAGGCATCCGCCCTTCAAAATCAGAGGACCAAATTTATTTGGAAATGAAAGCTAAGTAATTTAGTGAAACATCTTTCAGTACAAATTTTTTCTACTATACCCACTGTTCATAATTTAGATGTAAGCATATGTTTGAACCAACAGTTGCCCAACTTAGCACAGTGGGAAATATAAATTGGCATTCAACTGAAGAAACGCAAATTGTGATAATTCGAATTCTTTCTGTTAGGAGCCCGACAAAATGAAGCTCAAGCCTCTAGCGTTTATGTTTTGTTTCGGGACAGTCAAGTACCGCGGGTTATTCCTAAATTGCCAAACATCCATATTAAGAGGCATGGCAACTTGACAGTGTGCGCACAAGAACACTAGTGAAATTGTGGTTTGCGTGCAGAAACCTCGTGGCCAATCAACAGTCGAATTTATGCAACATAGCATAACATAGATTGCGTGTACATGCTCTGTGTTCTCCCTATGTGTTTGAACGTGGCCCAACTGAAGAATTCAGATAGAGGCTCGTTGTAATTTTCTGCTGCTGCTGCTGCATGGACCTCTAAGAGGAAAACTAAGGTTTTTTGCAAAAAAATGTTTACTTGTGAATTATTTCACTACATCAGTTATTTAGGGCAAAAAACTTTTTACCGGTTCCTGGGGTGCTTTAATCCTTCAGTATCGCCAATATAGTGAAATTTCGTTCCTACGTAGAATTTGTTGGTAATAAAATGGTTGAACCGCCTCGCTCTAATCTGAGTCAACTATAACTTTAAGCGTCGGAACAACCCCCCCCCCCCCCTACTTATGCTAGAGCAACGATGGGTCATATTTGTCAAGAGTGGCGACCGAGTAGATACAAATTTAGTTTCAAGTCACACGTTTAAAGGACAACTTCACGTAGGTATGACTTTTCGTACGCAGATAAACATCCGAAATTTAAATATAATTACATTTAAACTTTGTACCTGTGGAGGCGTATGATGATTCATGTGTTTATATGACGTTGTTTATGTAGGATTATTATCTGGGAACAAAAAGAATTAATTTATGGTGGGACTTGGAGATGGTGATGCTCTCAACGCAATGTGAAAAGGCAGATCATGTTGATTGGTGGAGAAGCTAGTCACGGTCGTCCACTTATCCACGTGATCATATTAGTAACATGGGTGACGTGAACCAGTGCTACCACTAAATATTCTGGCTTATAATGAAGAAACAGAGTAGCATTTGAAAGTTTGCCACATAAGCCCAGAGCCATCTACTTGAATTTATTTATATCAAATGGCAGGCGTTTTGATAGTTACAATTAGACCTTTAGCTGACTTCAGGCTCCATGGAGAGGAGGAGGAATATCAAAGTGACAAAAAGTCGAGAGGCGGGCCAGAATAACGATTCACAGACGTAAAAGAGACAGAAAAACACAAAGGCAGAGAAAAGGTAAGATGAGTACTGTTAGTGGTGAAATATGACAAACAGTGCGGTCATGATAGTCTGAAGTCAGAAGTCAAATGCCGGTTAATAGACTTTTTTGCCGTATGAGTATATGCTGCCCTGGGTGCACCACGTGGAAGTAAGTCTATCGAACACTCCGATCGACTTAAATTGAGGGTCCGAAAATTTGGAAACAATAACGACGTCTTTAATAATGGACTGTTTAGCTGAACAAGTGTCAAGAGGCGTAAGTATCGACAGACAAAATGTAGGTAAGGTATGTACGTGAACACTGTCAGCACCAGTTATTATAACGGATCAGCAGCAACTGCCAACTAAGGTCTCAGTACTATAAATTAAAGGCTCAAGAGCTAAAACGTTGACTAATAGCTGAGGGCAGACAGTAGCCACTTTCAAAGCAGAAATGTGCCAAGGCATGCTCCAAGAAAATCTTAGAATTTTTGAGCAATATCAAATGAACTCATTTTGATGAAAAATCGTGCTTGCGTATTTTGTACTTACCCGAACAGTTGAAGAATAGTGATTGGCAGCTTGTACTCACCACTTTTTGACAACTCAAATTTGTCCCGCAATTTCTAATAACGCGTTGATTACAAAAGTAACGGTGAAGATGCTCAATTTTCGAGCTTTTCTCATTCTTGGTCTTATTCTTTTCCTTTCTGCATTTTCTATCACACCCCTCCCCCACCCCCTCTCGAAATTTCAAATCGTTGTTTTTTTGGCAAATTCAGCTTTGCTCTGGATTATATTTGTTTGGATATCTAAAATAGAGGTCGCCTGTTGTTTGTGATAGGCCAAGTCTTAGTCTCGTGATTGGTATTATATTGACAAGCTACCATGTTTATTTTAGCTCATGTTTTATCTAACCGCTCTAGTTGTTGGTTGAATGGTGAAACTTTATCACAACTCGAATCCTGAACGAGTCAATAACTTTCAGGTCCCGCATATCCTCAATGGATAGCAACATTCAACCTTCTCTGTATACGTGGCCTTAATATTACGGGCGATACTCCTAATTATTAGCCCATTAAAACGTTCTTTCTCAATACTCCTCGATAGAAATATCACCGAAAAAGCTGAAATGTCATATAATTACCCTGTGTCTTGAGATTTGACAGAACTTCGGTATTGAATCGAATACAGAAATCCATCGCTCACACTGCTGAAAATCAGATCATCTACACCAAATGAGCGCGTGATAGGAGCGAAGTGACGCGATCATCAACACCAATGTGGGGGAGGTGGGGGGCGAAAAGTGAAGCATTACGAAATCGTACTGCCCTGGTGCTCTTCCTGCAGTACAAAAGGAATTGTCAAACATGTGAGCCGAGGGGCCGACAAGTGATGATGCCAAATTGTGATTGCCCTACCTTATTCCTTAGTTTGGAATAATGAAGAGCCTCTAATGCTTGGGTCTTCGGAATTAAAAATCATAAGAAATCTTTACACTTCAAAGAATGACATACTATATTTACATGGAGTAAGTGAATCGAAATCAGATAATATTGAAGAGTAAGTAGTTTAAAATATGGTAGAGACACACTTGAGTCCACCACACCACGATATTGATGAACTCGATTTTAGCCCTCCTCAAAGTGGTGTCAGTCGTTCCAGGAGAATTTCCAGAGCAATGCGCCTCTTTTGAAGACCAACAAGCTCCGCCGTGAGTGCATTATTCTCTTTCATAATGGATTCGCATTCACTCTGAAGAGGCAACAGGGCTGCGGTTAATTGTTGTGCCCGACTATTCGAGTTCAATTGATCCGCTTGAGATAATAAAATGGATGATGTCTCTGCTGAAGCCGTTTTCTGTCTGCAAGAATTAAAGAAAACAGAGATTACTTTGGTGATCGGAGTCTCATAATTAAGAAACATGATAAGATGCTTTGGCTACACAGTGAATTGAGTACGATTGACCTTCATGAAATGTATTTCGGTAAGGTATATGAATAGTTTTAATCAAAGCAACTTATCAGGATGTGATCTAGTTAAATCTGGGGTTTCGTATGTGGTTCAAAAACGCTGAAGTTGCATTAAGGATTATGGTAAGGATCGTAAGATGAACTCAGATAGCGGACACTTTTTGAAAGTGACGGAACAAAGCTCTATCAACAACAATAAGATGGGAAAATAACAACTTTTTAAAACTTCATTTTCTTGCGGTGTCATGAAAACAAATTGGGAGTGTGCCATAGACTTACCTTCACGTGGTGTACCCTGGGCAACGTATACTCATACGGCAGTTGACTAACTGTATGTCATATTCGACTACTTCACAGCACTCACCTCACCGTTTTCTACCTTCGTTTCTGTCTCTTTTACATCTTTGAAACACTCTTCTGTTCCTCCCCCCCCCCACTCCCCCTCTCGAATTTTTCTCACTTTGATGTTCTTCTCCCTCTAAGAAGCCCGATGTCAAGTAAAGGGCCAATGATAACTATCAAAATGCCTGCCATTTTATATTTATGCATCTTGCTATCCTCTTTAGCATACCTGGAAAAATTAATCTAGGACGAGCCGTTTTAACTCATCTAACAGCCTTAAGTTTTCGAGTTGTACAAAACTTTTAAAAAAATGCAATTTGATAAGTTTTGAACGGGGCTGTATCCGACGCGGCGGCAGATCAAGATAGAATCTCGTGAGACGGATTAACTTATGAAAATAGTAGTATTAAGACAGAATTTTAAGAATTTGTCGCTAATCGAGTACTGTGTCTTTAGTTATAAGTTAATTGCAGCGATTGGATCTAACAGTTTTTTAATACTTTACGACCTTGATATATGAATTCCATTGATTGGCTTATTGTTATGAATGACTGGTCACGCAATGCTATGAGTCTCACAGAGAGTTCATTCCCAGTTAATCAAACTTTAAATTGATCACATTCCAGCGCCAATCTCATTAAATTTCATTTCAGTTTCCAGCTCCAATGCATCGTTCTTGTTTTAATTAACTACAGATAATTGTGTCCACTGCTTGCTGTCCACCATATTTTTTGTTATAGGGAAAGTACATCAATTAAATGGCGAAAGCGTGTGACTCAGCAGAGCCCCATGAGTGGCAATAAATTTGTGGCCAATTTGTATGAATAAATTTGAGCAGAGATTGTAATCTTCCCCCTCCCCCCCCCCAACCCCCAACCCCCAACCCCCAGATAAGCCATTGTAACCACTTTCCTAAAACGGCCAATAAAAATTGGTCAAGTTGTATGTGTGCTCATTGAAATATTTGCAAACAAAGCAAACGTTGAAACAAGACAACAAAATGTGACTATTGAAAATTGCAAAGAATGCGACTCACACTTCAACACGTTCCACCTTTACGCCCCATGGTTGAGTCGCATCGTCTAGCATTGTCTAAAAAAAGTGGGGTAAAAAGGGTAAAATATAACTTTTAATTTCCTGTT